GTCGTCTCGATGGTGTTTCGACGTGGAACGATCCACACGATCTCGACGGAAAGAAGGTCGTCGCGATCGGCACGAGATGTCGCCCGACCGCGGATTTAGCAATTCTCAACCCGATGCCATCGGAACTCGTTCCCCCCCCCCTCCCCTCCATATTCCCTCGTGTTAACAGGCCTGCGAGGGTGCGTCCCGCTCTTCTCCCACGGAGTCGACGAATCCGGGGACGATACCCGACGCGTGATTCCTTCCACGGACGGAACGGGTCGTGTCGTTCGAGTGCGTGACTCGGATTCCGATCCGGCGAAGGAAGTCACGACCTGGAAGGAACCGACCGTGGGGTGATGGTACTCGTTCGAGTGCTTTAGTTTCGTCGTCGATATCGTTTCGAAGGAGGAAAAGGAGGAGGCGATGCCCAGACGTGGACGATTCCAAGCCGGCACGACGAGACGCGCGAGCATCTCTTCCACGTCGAACCGCGTTTCGTTTCGACGTTGCGACGACGTCGACTCCACCTTTTACAACGCGTCGCGGCAACGTTGCTACGTTCAAAAATCAATCCTCGCTCGATGTCGACATTACGTTGTTGCGCCGAATGGGTCATCTACTTCGAGAGACGAGCGAGAAAGAACGAGACTGACCCAGCACCCGAGTGACGAGGGCAACCACTCGACATAAGCTACCGTAGCCTATCGACAGACGTTAACGACTCCGCTTGTCTCTATTTCTTTTGTACCGAGATCGACGAAGCGAGAGTGACGGAGGGATCTGCATCGGTCGATAGATGATCGTATTCTGCCGTAAAACCGAGTGATCGACCGGATATCCACGTCCGCGGAAGCGAAGGGAACGAGACGGTCGATCGGATTCGTTCGGACGGAGAGGCGACTCCGAGCGAGGAGGGGGCACCTCCCGCGCGATGAGGGGCACCTCGTCGCGGGCAGAACGAGGGAGGAAGAGAAAACGAGATGGCAGGAACAAAGGCTCGGTCCGGTGTCTCCTCGGGGGGGACATTTCGAACCGACCGCACGAATCCCATCTGGGCGTTTCTCCTTCCTTTCTTTTCGACCGACTGGCGTCGCTCCGATTCCTTTCGTTCGTGCAGCTTCCGCCTTCTGCGACCTTCCGGGAGCCGGAAAGCGGCTTCACCGAGAAACGCTCCGAAAGGGTGGATGATCTCTCGGAGGATCCCTCGTCACCGGGATTTCGCGAGAGCGATGCGAGGAGTCTTTCCTCTCTCCCTCTCGCCGGATCGCACGGTACCGCCGAGAGCGGACGCGGGTCGACGTCGGGCGAGAACCGATGTCGGCAGAGACGATGCCCTCGGGCGAGGACGAACGAACGTCACCGCATCGCCGGGTCGTTGGGAAACGCACTGGGATTCGCCGAACGGCCGATCGACCCGACGGGACTCTCGGGCGCGGGGCCGAACGGGAAGCGACTCTCGAGGAAGTCGTGCGAGTCCCACGGATACGATCCGGCGGTAACAGATCTCCGTGCAGAATCGGTGTCCCCTCCACGCGGGGCAAAGACGAGGAAAGGGGACGAGAGACCCTCTTCGAGGAAAGGGGATGGAGCGAGGGAGTCGGAGGGAGTCGGAGTGGGGCACTCGGGGGGACGCGGTCGAGGGAACCTCATTATCCGTGGCGACAGGAGACGCACGTAATGAAGGCAGCGAGAAGGCGTCGTCCATCACGATCTGGCATGCGACTCCGAACGGAGACCCTCACCCTCTAATTGCCTCTCGATTGCTCCTCTCTCGGTGATGGATGCCGCGAGGCTTTCCCCCTCGAGGCATTTCCCTCCGAGGTCGCATTTTTGCCCCCGGGGCAAGCGATCCCGTGAGAGTTCGACCTCGACGCCTCGCGAACGCGAACGGGAGCGGAATCCTGTCCGCGACCGAGATCCGTCCGCGGTCGTCTCTCGGAGTTTCCGAGAGCGTCGTCGGCCGGGAAGCCTCGACGGAAGAGGGCGATCGTTCCGGCTGCCGGATGCAACATGCCGCGTCCCTCGCCTACGGAGGCCGTAACGAAGGCATCGGGTAGCATCGTACTTCGCGGGGATCGGGGCCTCCGTCGGCGTGACGCTAGGAGATCGCGGAGTCGGGCTCCTAAACCGGACCAGAAGGGAAGGGGGAGAGCCGCGGGGAAAAGGCGCGGAAAAAGGGCGAAGAAAGGCCGGAGATGGTCGGAGAAGGCTGGGTCTCCGAACGGCATAAACACGCCTTCCTCTGGCGCCTCTCCGTGTTTGCTCTCCTCCTTCGCCTCCGTGTCGGACCGGCGCGTCATCCGAGGAGGCTCTCCCCGATACGAGCCTTTTCCGAGTCTCTGTTTACCTCTCCCCTCGGGATGAAGTCGTCAGATAAGACGCTTCTAGCCTCACCCCTTCCAGATTCGTTTTTCTTTTCTTCCTGAGCGAGCTTTTCTTTCTTCTTCGTTTCGTCGCGTTCTGCGCGAGGCAAACACGAGAAAACGTCGAGCCGCCGATCCGCGATGACGTGAGGGCGAAGACGGTTCGAGGCGGACGGGGGACCTCGAAGCGAGCACGGCGATCCTCGCGGTCATCGGGAATGACGAAAGGGAAGGCCGTGGGGGATGCCGCCGGTGAAGATTCTCTTTCCGGCTCGCGTCCCTCCGCGTTTTTCTCCTGAACGCCCTGGAAGATTTCCGCGTTCTCGAGGACGCCGTCCACTTTGCGGGGAATCCCTTTGGATATCCGCAGCTCCACGTCGAAACGCTCGAGTGATGACGTTCGTCTCGGCAAGCGGCTCATCGCGCGTAAAAACTCGCGTCAGGGGCCTCTCGCCGATCGGTTACCCCATTCTAAGACGAGGTCGTTTCCGCGACGGACGGTCACCGGGGAGAAAATTTTTTGTTGTTGTGGTCGGAGGGGGGGGGGGGGGGGGGGGGGGGGGGAGGGGGG